TTAGCCTCTGCCTGAGGCTACCCAGCAGGAGCTATGGAGAGATCTGCAGATTCCTCTTCTTTGTTTGGGGTTTGGAGGTGCCCAGATTAAGCCCAGCTGTGAAACAATGCAAGCTGCTGTGGGGCCTTGGGCCTTCTCTTGGATGTTCTGGGTCTGTCTGGCCCAGCTGCAGTTTGTTAGATAATTTTCAGATTGCAAAGGGCCAGGGCATTCATATGCAAAAGCCTCTGCTGCAGCTTGGGTGGGGCAGGGTCTCAGGGGATCAACAGGGCGGAGCATGCAGCTATGGCTTCTCCTCAGTCCTACCCTAAGAGGCCCTGCATCTCAGTGTCCCGGTAATCGCTGCAAGCACCTCTGAGAGAAAGCCGCCCTTGAGTTCCTCCCGATGCCAGACAGTCCAGTTTCTCCCTGTATGAATCTGGATCCCCAGAGACTCGCCGGGAACTGGAGTTCAGAGCATTCGGGAGCTTGAGACTCCCTCCTGATTGAAAAAGACAATGGAGTCCTCAGTTGCCAGCCTTTCCACGTGCATCTCCGTACCTCTGCACTTTACTTCCACACCTCCTCTGAGTCTCAGTGTGCTTTTCTCTTTCATTCTAGTTTTAGAATTTCCACTCAGCCAGCCTTCCTGTGGTTCTTGATGATGTCCGTTTTGTCTTTTAGTTGTATTTTTGAAGTGGTTGTACGAGGCAGCAATTTCCGTTGTTTACCTATGCTGCCATCTTGGTTTTTGTAGATACATTTATATGCATGTGTAAACTCTTATACATATTACATTATTTTCCTCGTTAAAATAACTTTAACTCTGCTTTTTTAACTTACTGTGTGTCTGTGTGACTACATATATTTCTAAGTGGCTATATTTTATATGTATTCACTGTAATTTCTTTACAAGTTTTTATATTGTTGATCATTTAGGCTGTTTAACATTTTTTTTCCTATTAAAACAGCATTGGAATAAAGTATCCTTATAGCAAAATGTTTTGTTCAAAAAATATTTGTTGAATACCTAATGTATGTCAGCCACTGTATTTGGTATTTGGTTATAACAATGACCACAAAACACAAAGTTACTGATCACATGGAATTTAAATTCTAGCAGGAGAGCAGATATTATCAAATATAACCACATTGCTGTACATGTAGTTTATAACTGAAATGAATACTCTGTAAGAAAGGAATAATGATCTGCAAAAAAATACAGCGAAGGATCCTGACTAGAGTTAGGGAAGCCCTCGTTGAGAAAGTGCTGCTTGATCTGGCAATTAACTAGTCGTAAGAGGTTTTGGGTGGTGTGGATTGGCATTGTAGAGAGAAAGATTATTCCAAACAGAGTGAATGGTATTGTACAAAGGCCTTGTTGCAGAGAAATTATATCATATCTAAGAAACTTAAAGCCAGTGTGGTATGGACACTAAAAGTAGTGGTATAATATAAGGCTAGAGATGTAGTCAGGGACCTGGTCAAGCAGAGCCTCAAAAATGATGTTATGGACTTCATTCTAAGAGTGAAAGGATACCTTCAAAGGGTTTTAAGTTGGGAGTAATATTTGATTGTACGGTGAACTAACTGTACAGGGAACAGAGTGGATGCAGGAAGATCAGATAGGAGGTTGATGCAATGGGTTAGGTAAGAAATGATTGTTTGGATTAGGTTGGTGGAGGAAATAGAAGCAGACAAATTCAAGAAATTTTTAGAAAATAAAATTGTTTAAACTTGGAACATTCTGAAGTATTTTTTAAAGCATAAATTTTCAGAGATGGAATTCTCAAGACAAAGAATTATTTTTAAAATCTTATGGTAGATATCGAATTCCTTTCTAGAAAGATTGTTTCAGTATACTCTCCCATTAACTGTGTATTGGAATGCTCATTTCCATATCTCCCCACCAATAATGAGCATTAACTTTTCTATTTTTTAATTTTTTACTTTTTAATACCTTTTCGAGAAAGTGAGTAATTACTTCAAATTTTAATATGGGTTTTTTTTTAACCAACTGTAATAATATAGTAGCTTTGGAATACAGTAGTCCCCCCTTATCTATAGTTTTGCTTTCTGTGGTTTCAGTTATCAGAGGTCAACCATGGTGCAAAATATTAAATGGAAATTCCAGAAAAAAATAATTCATAAGTTTTAAATCATGCAACGTTCTTAGTAGTGTGATGAAGTCTTGCACCCTTCCACCCTAGATTTGAATCATCCTTTTGTCCAGCTTATCTGCATTGTATATGTTACCTACCCATTTAGTTGTCTTGGTTATCATATCAACTGTGTGGTATTGCAGTGCTTGTGTTCAGGTAACACTTATTTAACTTAATAATGGCCTCAAAGCCATTCACATAACTTTTATTACAGTATATTGTTATAATTGTTCTATTGTTGTTGTCAGGAATATATTAAATGTTAATAAACTTTACCATAGGTATACACATATAGGATACATAGTATATTTAGGGTTTGATACTATCCACAGTTTCAGGCATCCACTGGGGGTCATGGAATATATCCCCTGTTGATAAGGGAGGACTACTGTATATTTTGGCTTTAGAAAGTGTGGTTTTGATTCTTAATATTGTACCTTTAAAAGCTGAAACTAAAACAAAGGGTTTAATGGGAATGTTGCCTCGGGAACATGGTGAAAAGAAATGTAAGGTAGACTTAAGGTAGATCAAGCATTAGTGTAATAACCCACCCTCTGCCAAGACACCTACCTTCCTAAACATTGTATTGTAACACTGTTGTATCATTAGTTTGGGCTTAGGGCTTCAAACCATTTTAAGTAAATGTACTGATAAAAACCCCAAAAGTATATAACGATTTTGACCACAAAGATGGAAATGTTTAAATTTTTATGTAATGTGTTAATAGTTTAATTAGTAAGAAATAAATGTATAGTGCATGTCCCACTCACCCCCAGTTAGTAACTTTTTGGCATTATAAGGATAACTATAGCTGAAAGTAGGAAATTAAGAGAAATGAATAGCTTTTTCAAAGCAATTGAAAGTTTGTTTTTCTCCAAAATAGTTTGAGTTTGAAAGATATTGACCTTAAATTCAGTATAAAAGTTATGTTTGTAATCTTTTTATATTTTTCTCATTAGGGACATAATTCTACATTATTGAAATATAGTTATATTTGAAATAACATGTTACTCACTGCTTTGTTTTCTCTCAACAGTTAAAAGATGTTGATACTCGGAAAATCATAAAAGCAATGCTTTCTTATGTGTGGCCCAAAGACAGGCCAGATCTACGAGCTAGGGTTGCCATTTCCCTGGGATTTTTGGGTTGCGCAAAGGTAAGAGAAATTATGTGTTGATCATTGTTATAAGAAATGCTATGATATTTTCTAGCATTGAAACTTGGGCTGACTTAAGGCACTTTTGGGGGAGTATTGTCAACTTTTAGGATCCTATCATAACTGTTGTATGCAATCAGCAGAAATTATATGGTAATGTCTGATTTATCTGTGGATCAGATTTCGAACAGCCTCAACTTAATGGAATTCATTCCTGATCTCCAATACAAGATCATTTATTGGAGTAAAACTTAAGGAAATTTTATAAAAGAAACTCCTCAGTGTCTTGTTGGCTTTTATTTAATACATATTTAATACATTGTTCCCAGTAACTTGAAAAAGATAAAGACAATTTAGGCATAATGATAGTCTTAAGTAGTAAACAACAGTGTGATATCAAGGGAAAAAAATTGGGAAAGAAACGACAACAAAAGCTGGGCATTTTGGTACCATTCAATATAGGGTCTCTCTATATATTAGCAGCCTCCTTAGTTTCTTGCTGTATTGTAACACATATTAATAAGGCAAACTTATAATAATGACTGAGCTTTCAATAAACATCCCTTATTTTTAATTTATTCACATTTTAAGTCAGTGATGTACATATCTTTAGGTACAGTATACAGTAATGGTACAATTATAGACTGTGGAGTCAGACTTCCTGGGGTAACCTTGCACAAGTTGCTTAGTCTCTGTGCCCCAGTTTGTTAATTTAATTTGTAAAATAAAGCAAAATAAGGTTGTTATAAGGAATAAATAATTTAAAATACAAAAGGCTTAGAACTGTGCCTGGCACACAGTGAAACATAATATACATGCTAAAATCAAAATAAATTCAGATTTTCATCAGAAATATGGTAAAAACAAAGTCTACTTAAAAGTATAAATGAGGTTTGGCTATAATTTGGTTACCAGTCTTAAATATGTGTTAATATTTTGTTTTAGAACTTAGGTCTTATAATTTACTTCTTCTCTATATCATGTGTGTTCCTGTTTATTTACTCACTAGAGGCCCAGTGCGCACAAAATTGTGCGCCAGTGCTTCCGCTTGCCTCAGCTGGCCTCCCTTCCCATCGCCGCTCATAGCTCGGGTCCCGCCTACCATGAGAGCTGCTGCTCATTTGGTCGTTACAGCATGATGACCACGGGCCTTTTATGATATAGACTAGTGGCCCGATGCATGAAATTCGTGCATGGGTGGGGGGGCATGGTGGTTCGCTCAGTCCAGCCTGCACCCTCTCCAATCGGGGATCCCTGTGGGATTGGGCCTAAACCGGCAGTCGGACATCCCTCTCTCAATCTGGCTCCTAACCATTCACCTGCCTGCCTGCCTGATTTCCCCAACGGCCCTCCCCTGCCGGCCTGATCTCGCACCCAATGGCCCTCCCCTGCCGGCCAGATCTCACCCCCAACTGCCCTCCCCTACTGGCCTGATCTTACCTCCAACTGCCCTCTCCTGCTGGCCTAATCTCACCCCCAACTGCCCTCCCCTGCTGGCCTGATCACCCCTAACTGCCTCTGCCTTGGCCCACACCACCATGGCTTTGTCCGGAAGGATGTCGGATGTCCGGAAGATGGCTGGTCGACCCGGTCTAATTAGCATATTACCCTTTTATTAGTATAGATCAGGGGTCCTCAAACTACGGCCCGCGGGCCACATGCAAATACAAATATTGTATTTGTTCCCGTTTTGTTTTTTTACTTCAAAATAAGATATGTGCAGT